TCGTCAAGTAGACAGACTTTTTTACTTGAAACAGTGCTTGACCAGAGTACAACTAGTTGTTCTGAAGATGTCGACTTGATACCCGCTTCTTGGTTGTTACATCAGAAGGTGCTATTCGGCCAGCAACAACACGGCCTGCTTAATGGATGTGACACTGACATCAGTGTGCATCGTCACGCTCTCTTTGAAGATGGCCAATTCACAACAGGTCACTGGGAGGCTGTCAGGTCCAGGTTACAAATCCGGGGTTACAATGCTGACCGGAGTTAGGAGTTTTATTTTTTAAGCCAGGTAAAAATGTTTGAGAACCCGGTTTGTGAGATTAACTGCCGTGCCTGCGCAATGGGCATCGTTACGGTATCCGAAAATCTAAGAGTTCTTGTTGACGAAGTCGACCCGGATATTCGTACCTCACTGCAGCACCTTTGACTCCAATACAAATCGCTCGCCATTCATGCGAATGAACTTGATTCACAACTTTAGATGGTGATTGAGCAGGTTTCCCGGATTTTTCAGATTCAATTCATGACGAATGCTATCTTCTCTATTTCCTCATATCATCTACCACTTAACTACTTTTTCTATTTCCTATGCCTATTAGTCGTAAGCAGATTGAATGACGGAAAGGGTGGCGAAAACCACTGCACTGCTTTCTACGATTATCAACGCAGCGACAGTTTTGTGGGATATCTTTCATCATTATCATCTTTGACTACTAAACAGCAGATTAATTTAGATTATGATTTTTCGGAAAGGTCGTTTTACATTGATATTAAGCGACATTCCCTTTTGTGACGAAATTCATATCATTCGTTTCTGGCCCAAAAACTGACAAATGTATAAATTTACGGTTTATTCATACACAACACAAGCAAATTGGTCAACCGGGAGATTAATGATCAGTACTGATATTTCTGTTCGTCTTTCACCGACCTTCTTCGGGACGGTCCGGGTTGATTTCCGCAGCTGTTATAACGTTTGGAGCCAAAGGTTTGCGTAAAGAAGCCGTTTTTAAGTGTGATCTCCAGCGCATAAACAAAATACTGCCTTCTTTCCTCTTTCTCTCTTCGAGGTGTTTCAAGATCCGGTATGGTTTCTGAACGCATCTATGGCAAGTGCTCTGTTCGACCGGACTCCCTGTCGACGTAACTTTCTCTCAGACAGCTCTGTGTTTAAAGCGTACAGTGGTTTGTAAAGCCGGTTTTCAGAGCATTGCTAGTGAACAGCTTCAAGGTTTATGTCCGGCTTTCACGGCTATCGTGGGACCTTTGAAAAAATACGCTCTACAGTCCGTTTTGTCGTGCCATCCGCATCAAACAGCAGTAAAACGGAAGTTCGAAATTGCCAACTTTCGATTTCCCGTTAACATCGAAGGGAAACAGTCAGTGATTCCGATGTCGTCATACCTGGACTTCAGAGGAAATCTTTTTCGCCTTGACCTACTCACCTTATTGGCACGCAGAGATCAATCAGTATTCGATTACTGTAGCGTGATTTCAAGATGGTTAATGACGTATCGCGTTGATCACAGGCGCATTGACGCACAAAGCCTCAGAGACCTCCCTCAAGTAGCTTTTCTATTTAAGTCTTGAACTACAGTATGCTCGTAAACGTCAGGAAAAGAAGGTTATTATCCCTAAATTCAGAATGAGACCATAGCCGTAATCCACGCGCTTCTATTTTCTATCAAAATACTATTGTTTATGCTGAGATGTATAAGGAATGCTGACTCGTAAAACGTCTGTCTTAATGAGCACCAGGGGGCTGTCTAGCGTTGTCAGGGGTGCGAGGTGGCACCTGGCACTGTAGGTGCTTAATTAGCATCGCGCGATCGCCTGCTTAAAGGATCCCCTTAGACAACTGGGAAAATGAGGCTGTGCGATCCGATGTGAAATCCGACCTTGGAAGAATGGTGCATTTTCTGTTTACTGTAAGCACAGGGTAACTCAGACAGAAATGCAGCCCATCGACCCAGAGGTAACTGCAGGCACTTCGCGTGATACCTGAGTTGTGTCTTGGCTAACGGATATGATGGACAAGAGCTCGCATGTTGCCGGACGAATGACCAATGACCGTCGTGTGTTGTCGTGTCGTTGGCGAATGAACGATGGTAGCGGTCAGGCGTGCTTCGTTCGAGTCTCGTCTTTGGTTCGAGAGCCGGCCCTAGCAAGTTTAAGTTTTTCGTTTTTCCTCGTTTCGAGCTGGGTGATGAGCTGGTTTCCAGCTGAAACGGCGCATTGGCAACTATTCTGAAAAACCGACTGGTGGCCATAAGAAGCGCGGCCAGTTTTTGGTCAGCTGCAAAGAAATGCTAAAGGCGAACGGACGGCTGCCATTGACGACAGGCATTTTTTACGCAGGCAATTATCAGATGCTGATGCCGGCTTCATTTTTTAGGTAAGCACGTTTGGCGCCTGATCACCTGTGCGACCTGCCCGTTTGATGTCCGTCTTGGTTGGTTCGGCTTTGACCGTGATCAAAATCGATCGAACTTTCACTGTCCACTGGTCGGCCTCCACCCACCGACGCACTGGACGGACGGTCGCGTCGAGTATCCCTCATTTGAACTCTCTACGTCACTCATGTTGACCGTTGAGGAGAGTGCCCGCTGAACACAGCGCAGGGGTGTTCGGTTGCACGGCCCTGCGACGGCTAAATCGAGCATGTCCGATGGCATGTGCGTTCTTTTGCGTGAGGGTTTTTCGTTCA